AGAAGGATCATTCCCAGCCGAAAACGTTTTTATTTTCAGTATTTTTTTGTGGGAGTCAAATATGTCGGAGTGGTGATCCGGGTTCTCATACATTTGAGTGACTACGATGTAGGGTTTCGTCGAATTTGAATGATTCGACGAATGCGATACTGTTTTGGTTTCATATGTTTGCTTATGATAGACAGTAACATTTTTATGATTACCAGTGTTATTGATTACAATCTCTGTATTTTCTTTATAGGGTACCTTCTTTTTGCTGTCGACCATCGGTTCGATTGATACGTGCTTCACTTCTTCAGGTTTGTTAGATGGACCTATTTGAAGAAAGAATTCATCCAACCATTTCATTCAGTCTGATACTCGGTCTTCTCTAGTATGAGTTACGTGAATTGATAACGTTCCTGAGCATCATCTGAGGTTCATTTAAGGTATTTTTAATAAAGTGAACGTATGTTGTCATATTTTTCAATTGGTATGTGAGTGACATGTTAGGACCTTCTTGTCATCAATGATCACACCTTACCCCACCCCACATGCGCTCACACACACATCCAGACCCCTAGCGCTTACAACTTTCTGTTCCAGTTATGAATGATTGCAGAGAGGGTGTTTTCTATTCAAAGTTGAACTATTTACTAGAACAAATTCAAATTAACGGAGAGGAAAACAGTTACAGAATACATTTTATGAATGAAAATTTTTACAGCACTATCTATAATAAAAAATTTATCTTGTGTCCGATTCTGTTTTCAGCTCTGTGACTAGTATAACCGGCTTAGACGCGTTAACTTAGTCGAATTTTGTCAAAATCATATTATTTCTGTTCATTTTAACAGAGACTATCAAAATATTCGCCCGTCTTCATACAATCCACCATGATACAATACTTACAAGAAAAAACTATCAGTATAGCGCACATTCTACAGATGGTAGTCTCTTGAAAGCTATCGCATGAGCAATGACATATAGTGAAAAGTGCAGAACTTTTGTTTTAAGAGAATGCGCGAAATATACAGCAATGTATAACATTGAACAATGAGTTAATCACACGACTCATGGTCATATGTGAATAAAAATCATGTATGCTTCAATGTTGAATAAGAATTTCTACTCAAATAAATATAATATTAATCAAAGAATATGAGAGTTAGCTATATATATCATTATCATCTAATAGATGTCAGGGAACAGAACTAGAATATGGAAAAAAACAGTTTAGAAAAACTGTAAAACATCAAGATACTTAGGAATAGAAGAGAATTGAGAGTTCAAATGAGTCTCCACTAAGTATCCTTTACTTTACCTGGCACTCACCAAGAAATGTAGACATTAATCTATCTATGTTTGATAAACATAATTTGCGAGAATCTAAAATGGCTATTTAATAAGCAAAAATCAGGATTTTTTGACGAGATTGAGAAAAGTTATTCCCGATTTTCACTCTTTTAAATTTTTTTAAATACTTTTTTGCTATGAAAAATATTGATTTTTGTATCGGATATCCCTTTCAAAAATAAAACATAGTCGTTCGATGAACTTACCAGTATGATCACTTCGTTTATTATTATTGTCAGTGTCATTTGCTGAATTTTTGCTTTTGAAATCGAGCGCTTTTTGATGCCATTCAACGCTCTTATCATAGTCACGGTTCTGTGATGCCAAATCGCCAAGTTCTTCATACACAGTAGAACGTAAAGGATCATTTGCTGAAAGTTCTTCCAGAAAATGCTGAAAATATTCTTCAGCTAAGCCAATTTTTCCCATTCTCCATAATACTTGTGCTAACGTTCGAAGATTTGTATCTCCACTACCAAGTTGATCTCTCATATAGATGAGAACGTTTTTTAAAGCGTAATCATTCTCATTAGACAAAGTCATTTTAATAATCCATCGTTCATTATCACTACTGCGCTCAATATTGTTCAAGCGGAAAATACAACCAAGCATAAAAAGTACTTCGGATTCATTTTTATATACACTATATGCGCTGATATCAGAAAATGGTTTTGTAGTGGCAAATTTAGGATCGGCATCAATGTCAAATAATACTTTTTCTAAACCAGGTGGAACATTAGAATCGTTAAGAAATACAAGAGCTTCTTGACAAACAAGACTGGTGGAGAAGAATGAATTCACCGAAATAAAGTGACCAGTTGATTTTTTCAAAGTTTCTAGTTCATCAGTTGATAGATGTTGACCTCGATAAACTCGTACAGGATTTGTAATTTGACAACTTTTCAATTGACGATAGATATCAGAAATATATGTACGAAATAAGCATGTCAAACGAGTATTTTCGTTGCGTAGAACTGTATTAATAGTCTTGAAAAAGAACGCTTCTCGTGAGTACCAGTTTAAGGCTTTGTCAGGCGAATAAGTCTGTTCAAACTCCTGGATATTATGCAATTCGAGATTATTACCTTTGTACTCCTGTTTACAACACTTAATAACTTCATTTGTACCTTTTTCAGTAGATTTTAGCTTTAGAAGACAATCAATGAGCACTTGAGAAAAAAGAAATTTCCCATTCAGATCAGATGTTGATTTACCTTTGCCAGAACCTATAGTAAAAATATTAATTGACAATGGTTCCTCCACTTGTTTCTGTATTTTATGATCATCTTTAATGTGAGAAACAAGTTCGCTAAGGTCAGAAGTAACAGCTTTCACCTGCAAAAAAAGAATGATAAAATGATATTGAAATCGCTGACGATCATTTTACTTTTGAAAATTTATCAGCCCATTCTTTATTACTTTTCTTATCCATACAATAAACATAGATCGATACAACTTGTCGAACTGTATTAATAGAAGGAACTATTTCTCGTCCCAATCGGCCACTAACGATGACTACTAGTCGATCTTTTTTAGATTGTTCTTCAATATATTTTTGACACGATTGTACATCTTGGAACTTGACGACACGATTAATAATGTCACGTAATTTCAGTTCTGTATTTCGAATATCTTTATTATAAATATTATTATCAAGCCAGATAATACTGAAAATTTCAAGATGACAATTGTTGATGATCGGGCGAGCGTCCTCAACTCCTGAACTAACAGTTGCCATATTAATCAACGAGACTAAATAGAATAAAAGTTTTGAAGATTACGTATTCGTTTCGGTTATCAAATATATAAATGTTTTTGGTAGTCGAAAACGTAAGTTAGACTTTCACTTTTATTATTTCATTTATTAATATTGATGATACTACTATTTTAAAATTTTCATGCAATAGAAGAAGATTAGAAGAACAATATATTCGAATTCATCGAAGAAAATAACTTTATTTCAGCTCTAATTTTTTGAAAATAGATCATCAAACCAAGATGTAAAACTTAAGAGTAGATTGAAGATATTTCTATCTTTTTCATTCAGTCATCGATCATAAGCATAAATCAGACAATATTATCTTTCACCAACTTCGGCATTGTTAGTTGGTAGTGTGTAGATTTTGTTATCTTAATCGATATGAATCATGATTCTGATTTTTCTCGTCAGAAAATTTACACAACAAATTTAGCTGAATCTATCAAATTGTTGTATTATTGTTCATAAGAAAGAGGCGTACATTCAAAATATATTGTTTCTTATCTGATTGAAAAAGTTCTAATTTGTAATAGAGTTCTATAACCCAGGTCAATGATTCCGGACAACAGATCCTGCAGGAACCGGCAGGAAAATGCGGGAAAATTCACCGTATCCTACAGGAAAACACCGGAAGTCGCCGGAACTGGGTGGCAGTATTCCGGCGGGAAA